AAGAAATGACCGATGTGGTAATAAAGCATGTTACCGAGTATTTGTGTGTTTGTTTGCTGGTTTTTTTGAAACAAGTGACATATCCATTATCGATTTAATTTGTTTATTTGTAGGATGATTTGAGAAAATGAAAATGGGATCCTTGTGTAAATGGAGGCCATTATCTGTCCAAGGAGGAAAGTAAATACTTGTAAAGTTATATTAGTGTGGAGAATATATACAAATATGACTCTTACGCAATTCCTTGGTTGCGGAATAATAGCAAGTGTTTGAGAAAGTAGACAATATATTAATATGACACCTTGTGGTAAGGTAAAGTAAAGTATGAAACAAAACCCCAACACTTATTACCAAATAGTGATTACCCAACAATGATCTAATCTTCGAATGCATTAATATGTGTGCGACAAACAGGTCACCACATGACCTTCTAGAAAGGTTATTGTGTTAAATAGCTTGTGTTAAATAACTTTTCCTGCGTTTCTAAGTCTTTCATTCGCTTTTTGAAGATTTCCTTTCCTTCACATGGGCTTGTTCAACTTCCCAGCAGTAAAGACACAGTTTGTTCTAAAATTCATAGCATTCTATGTTTCGGCGAGCTGCACAGTTTTACAAGCAATCACTATAACAAGGCTTTACCAAAAAGAACGCACTAACTATAATCTTAGTACTTTTAAGTGGAGGCGACGTTTTAACCTTAAAATAGGATTACACACGTGAAAGCAAGCACTTCAAAATACGCAGCCCCGCCACCCCCACAACAAACTTGCACCAGTTTCAAAAATGAATCCCAGGACGCGTTCAATAAATATATTGTCAATATTATGCATAATACTTCAACCAAGTTCGGTACTTTCTAAAGGAGGCGGGGGTGGCAGTAGTGGAAGCAGTGGCAGTGGCAGTAGTAGTGGTAGTGGTGGGAGAGGCTCTTCTGGAGGGTATTATGGGGGATACAGCTCTAATAGTAGATGGGTGTTTTGGTATTATGGTCCGTACGGAGATCGATCATGTGGTAATCTTTGTATCGCCACCTTCTCTCTACTTGCCATAATTGTTCTTACGATAATTGGATGTTTCATCCATCACTGTATTCGGTCCCGCAAACGAAAGAACCATCAACCAAACTCTGAAACGTCTCACTCAACAGACGACCATTATGCCTCACCGTCAACGAATCTATATTCGCAAAGTACTGATCTTGAAATTGGCAGCATACCCCCATCATATGAAAATGAACCTCCTGCGCCTGAACCTATTGCTTGGTATGGCCAGAAACACGAAGCTTCAGCAGAAGCATATGAAGCAGGAGAAAAGTTTACACGAGATTATCCGCCTCAGGAGAAATCACCATCAAATGCTGAAATAAGTGACATAATCAATAAAGGTGGTGCATCGGCGTATCGTTTTGAGCATGACTCGCAAGTTGGCACGCGTCAGCAAACGACCATATTGAATGACGGGCGACTAATACAATTTAATGGGAAAGAAGATGCCACGGTACAAACAAATTATCCATTTGTTGTCCCATCGCTTACAACCGACGAAATAAGTACAAGTAGAGATGAGAGCAATGAGAGCAAAGACGTGAAGTACGAGAAAGGCGAGAAAAATATGAAGAATGGTGAAAAGTTCATGCGAATGCCTATGCCTATGCCCGTGCCGACGTCCAAACCTACAACGGTATATACTAGTCTTTTCGTATTCGAGGACAAATAACATTGTCGAATGATTACTGATATACTTTATTACGTTATGATACGATAAAAGCCCAAAGTATCATCGGAATTATTGCCATACACGTTATCAGAAAGCGATCAAAAACGCTCTTCTCATACATCTTTGAATGCGGTTGGAAATCCGGAAAATGTATTACATTATTTTGAGATAACTGTACTATCTAATACAAACCCAAAGAAGACGACAATAGCAATAGGTCTTGCTACAAAACCTTATCCACCGTTCAGGTACTGCTAGTCAGATGTCACTTTCTTTATTAAAAGCATTGCCGTCTCATCTGCCTACATTATTATTTTGATTCGTATAACCAGATTACCCGGCTGGAACCTTTACTCAGTAGGCTATCATTCTGATGATGGACGCAAATTTAATGATGCATTTGGAGGGCGCGAATACGGTCCTGAATGGGGTAAAGTTGGGGACACTGTCGGATGTGGATATTATCCAGCTACTGGATATGTATTTTTTACGAAAAACGGAAAGAATCTTGGCACTGCATTCACCGGAATTCGACACCTTTGGTATCCGACTGTTGGCGCAGACGGTCCATGTAAATTGGAGGTCAATTTCGGAGATGGACGACCATTTAGATACAATGAAGCACGAGGCTTTGGACCTACAGGACCTGTTAGTAGTAGGAAAATAAAAAATTAAATTTAATATTAATGCTAATAACTCCGTTACTGCTTGTGTTTCCTCGCGATAGTTACTGCTTGTGTATAATTTCGAGTTCTACAAAATGTAAATAAAATGTAAATTGTGCCTCCACGTGTGTAGTTCAGAAAACAGTCTGACAGTATTGTATTATTGTTGACCATACACAGGCCAGAAAGCGAGAGCGTATTAACTAAATTTAGTTAGACAAGAGTCAGCATCTTATTATGCTGTGGCAGGTCTTCCATTTGAGGTATGTGTAATGTAATATACTCATGATTTTCTCAGTATTAGGGGTACCATCTAACCAAAAAGCGGCTTTTATGCTCACCCGATATTATTTTACAAAGTTCACTGGCTAAATTTAAATTAGTTTAGTAGTAGGGGATGCTTAACGGTTACGTTAATCTTTTTATAGACAACTAGATTTGGGTGGCTATCCCAAACGCCCATTATCCACATATTAATACTAGTAGCCATACGTTTTACCTAGATAAAAAAAAAGCTTTCCTCATGTTTATATCACTATGACGAAAACAACTATTTCGGGAGCGGGGGGGTGTCATTCGGCTCGGCGCATATATCCGCTCCTATGTTACTGGTATCGAAAAGATGTGCTTTGATGAATTGTATAGGGTTTGATGCTTCCGAAAACGAGTTTTTTAATCTCAACAAATGACGATTTTTTTGCGAACATTCTAAACATTGGAATTCAAAAACGTACGCATTATCTACAGTTGTAATAATCTATAGATACACTAGGCCTGTTCAATTCCGTTCCGTTCCGTTCCAATTTGTGCCGATCCCTGATTGGCGGATTAAAAATCACATGATGG